ATAGGCCCTCCTCCTCCTGGGATGATGCCGGTAGGACCTGCTCCTGGAATGAGGCCACCCATGGGAGGGCCACATGCCCATGACGCCTGGGCACCCAGTGATGAGACCTCCTGCCTGACCCATGATGGTGCCCACTCAGCCAGGGATGACTCAACCAGACAGATAAGGATGGATGAAGGTCTTTCTATGTCAGTTTATTAACTTGTTTTACTTTAACAGGTGATCATGGTGCTGTGATTGTGGGTATTTTCTAATAGCATGTCAAGGAAGACTTTCTTCTCCTTCCTTTTAAAAAAATAAAAATAAGAATAGTTTTGGAGGAGAGAAGTGGGACAAAAAAGACCAGTTTTCATTTGTATTGTGAAATGGGAAAGTAAAATTGTCAACTGCTTTAGTTAAAAAATAAAAAGTTCCTTTTTGGGCCAGCAGGTGGTGTGGTGGTCAAAGGCTTGAGATTTCCACATGGCTCACCTGGGTTCTAGTTCCAAAGCTGGTGTCTTGCCTTTTCACTTTCTCTCTCTCTCTCTCTGGTCAAATTAAAATAATAAAAACAATGATAAAGTTAAATAAAACAATACTTTTTTAAAAAATTACTTTGTTTAACTTTATTATTTTTATTTGTTTTTTAACTTGACCAGAGAAAGACAGAGAGAGAAAAGTGAGAAAGCAAGCTGCCAGGTCCAAGACTTGAACAACGGTCAGTGATGTGGGAGTCGAGTGTTTTTAACCACCAGTGGGAGTCCAGCATCTTTAACCACCACGCCACCTGCCAGCCACACTATTTTTTTTTTTTCCAGAGAGTTTTTTTTATCTTTTTGCTATAGGGTGCCGGCATTCACTGGAGAGACAAAGACAGAGAGACACAAAGTGAGAAATCACCCCCCACCCCCGCCATGGGGAATGGCCATGCTGCAATCCCTTCTCCTCCATTCTCCTCTTGGGATTTTGGGCACACACATACATGTGCCTGGTGTGAAATTTCTTTCTTTCTTTCTTTCTTTCTTTCTTTCTTTCTTTCTTTTTTTTTTTTTTTAAGAATTATTCTATTTAATTTTATTCATTGTCATTTTTTATTTTCTTTTTTAAAAGTTGGCCAGAGAGAGAGGAAAATTAAGAAAGCAAGCTGCCCGGTCTGGGCCTTGAACTGTGGTCAGCCATGTGGGAGTCCAACTACCTCAGCCACCATGCCAGCATGAATTTTAAGCTTTAGGGTCCTAGACTCAATCCACAATGGACTACGTGGGAATCCAGCAATGTAAACTTTATGCCATCTGCTGGTCCAAACAATGTTTTTCAGTTTTTTTAAAGTTTCTTTCAAGGAAGAAATTATGAAGCTTCCCAGTCTAAAGTCTACAAATTGGGACTCTCTTGTGAGCCCTTTAATTAATTTCAAAATTTACTGATACTAGGGGACCAGCAGTCGGCGTAATGGCTATGTCACTGGACTCCCACGTAATTGACTGTGGTTTGAGTCCTGGACCTGGTGGCTTTAAATCACCCTGGGTATATGTGCACTTGCCCCAAATCTCATCAGGATAGAGATATGGAGAAGGAATTGCAGTGCAATCTTATTTCATTGGGTTGTGCCTTTCCCCTCTGTCTCTCTCTGTCTTTCTGGTGGGTGCATGCACCCTATAGCAATTTAATTATTCTTTAAATTTAAAAATTAAAAAAATAAATGTACTGATTCTAGTGGCATTCAGGCCTGGGCAGGGAATAAACCCACTCCTGGTGTCAAGCAAAATGTGATGTAAGCTTTAACTGACAATTTAAGTGATAACCCATTTGAAAGAAATTTATAAAGATAAGTCAGTTGTTTTCATTGATAGCATGCTGAGTCATGAAAAAAATTACAGAACTCGTAAGACTGTAATTACCAAAATATTTTGATCTATGTCTAGTAACCATTGTCCATTATATTCACACTATACATGTCGTTGAGTAGTCTGCATAGGTCCTTTTTCCCTTTTCAGCTTTTTTTTTAAGAATTATTTTATTCAACTTTATTTATTTTAATATAACTAGAGAGGGATGGGGTGGGGGGGGCTGTGAGAAAGCAAGCTGTCAAGTCCAGGACTTGAACCACAGTCAGCCATGTGGAAGTCCAACACCCATAACCACCACGCCACCTGCTGGCCCCGCCTTTTCAGCTTTATTGAGGTATACCTGACAAAAATTCCATCTATGGAAGATGTACAACTTGATGTTTTGATATACAGACACATGGTATAATAATTAACATCTATCATTTCTCATTTCCTTTTCTTCCTCTTCTTTTCTTTTTGGTGAAGTTTTTGCTATAGGGCACGTGCACTCGCCAAAAAGAAGATAGAGACAGACAGAAAGTGAGAAATCACCTCTCAGAGAGGATGGCCACGCTGCAATCCCTTCTCCGTTCTCCTCTCCGAATCTTGGGCATTCACACACACACGCCTGTGTGAGTTTAAGTCACCAATTCCAGGACTCGAACCGCGGTTGACTACATGAGAGTCCAGAGACATAGCCATTACACCAACTGCAGGTTCTCCTTTTCTTCTTTATTTTTTGGGAAGAACAGTTAAGATCTACCCTTTCTACAAATTACAATACAGTATTACTAACTGGTCACATTGTTCTTCAGTAAGTCTCTGGAAGCTATTTATCTTCATAACTGAAACTATACTCTTTGGCCAGCATCTTCTCATTTCCTCCTTTCCTCACACTGGGGAACTACCATTCTATCCTCTGCCAGCATAGTTCTTTTTGTTTTGTTTGTTGTTTTTTGTTTTTAGCTATAGCATGTGAGCTCACCAGAGAGACAGAGATAGAAAGCAAGAAATCCCCCCCAGGTGGATGGTCACGCCATAACCCTTTTCCTCCATTCTCCATTCAGGATTTTGGGCACAGACACACACATACTTGACATGTTTTAAGCCACTGGGTCTGGGACTTGAACTGTGGTCACCCATGTGGAGGTATAGCGATGTAACCATTACGCCAGCTGCTGGTCCCACCATCATAGTTCTTAATGTGCTGTATAGTTATCATAACTATAACCAAAATTCATCACCTCTGTAACTAACCCATGGAGCGCAACAAAGTTGAAAATTATCATATGTGTATGAGTATCTTATGCTTGGCCCAGCTGCGGTGGTAAAACCGGGAGGGTGCCACTCTCTGGTGCTGGCAGCCACAGGGGATGCTTGGGTTTGGTTCCCTGTTTCAACCTCAACAGGCTAGCCTACTTGTAGTCCTAGCTGAATGGGAGGCTTGGGGAGGGGAATTGTGATGCCACCAGACCCTGTCAAAAGTACCCAACTCCTCTCTCTCCCCCTCTTATGTGCGTGCTCTCTGTCTCGTAATTTATATATCCAAAATATGAACTGCTTAGTTCAAGCATCTGGAATCCTCTTGAAACAATCTGTCTAGTGAACTCTGTGCTTAATGTAGTCTATGTACACTGTATTAATACAAAATTTCAATATGATAGGATCACCTCATAATGATCTTTATTTTGTAAAATGCCAATAAGGTAAAATTCTACTTCAAAACAATAAATTTACTAAATGGCCATACATTTTACAACACAAATCCTTTTTTTTTTTTAATTTAACTTTATTTATTCATTTAAATTTGTCCAGAGGGGCAGGTAGTGAGAAAGCAAGCCACCAGGTCTGGGACTTGAACTGCGGTTGGCCATGTGGGAGTCCAGCACCCCTAACCGCCATGCCACTTTGCCAGCCCCCACAAATCCACTTTTATTTACTTTTCATTATTTTAAATCCTTGAGAGGTACAGAGGTACAGCATTGCACGGATTCTTTGTCCAATGGCCTTAGCAGAAAGGTTGTTTTGGAATTTGGCTCCAACCATGCCACTGATTCCATGGACATGGTTTTATTTGGTTTGCCACTAGGAGTCACTGTGTTGTTTTTTGCTTTGTACAAAGAAGCACACCTATTCATCTGGTGCATAAACACCTTCCTTTTTTTTTTTTTTTTGGCCCACATATATTTAACAAGGATGCTAAGAGCACTTTTCATTATATTTTACAGAAGGGCTTGAAACATACAGACTTTCTATTAATATTCATACCATAGCACATCCAAACCTAACTCCTAAATAGATGCATTACAATTTATTTAGATTTTAAATTCGAGAAATAGTAAATAGAATTTAATACGGTCTTATATGCCCTGAAGGAGGTGGTGCCCGATTTGAAGGGATAATTGTCCAAATAATCTCCTATTTGGAACTTTTGTGACTGCAGGGTCATGGACTCATCAGTCCCCTTTCTGCCGGACATGGTGCTGCCAATCTCCTTAACTTGATAGCCAGGTCTTCTAAAGTCTGTAAAAACAATTGCAACATTGCAGTGTGTGCCCTTCTCTCTCGCTTCTGGGTAGACTTGTTTTGCTGAACTAGTCAATTCTTCCCAGGTTGCATCCATCCACGTGTTGATCTGCATGGCTGCACTGACCTGGTCTGGGTGCAATGCACGCAAGCAGCTTGCTCTTCTGAAACTGCTCCTCCAGGAGACTGCTGATTTCGGCATTCTTTTTCCTTTCTTCTTATATTTTCTGAAATTTCTTTGATTGCTTTTTGTTTAAAATCTCTTCTTCCTCAGAAGTCAGCGTGGCCCCCTTCTTGCGTCCCAGGGGCAGTGCACAGTGGGACTCTACCACTGTCAGTACAGTGTGCTGTCAATGAGCACAATGCAGTTCTTCACCGGGTTTTGGTACCGACTAGCTCATTACTGAGACATCAATGATCCTTGTTTTGCGTGTACAACACTCTGAGCTCCAAGAAAGGTTCCCCTCTTCCAGCCTCGGTGGGCAGTGTTTCTTGTTACCTCCTGGCACTCGGACTATGTGTATGCGGCCGGGATCATGGCGTTGGCAGCTGGCGTCCCAACTCATACTTCCGCCTCTTGGGTAGGGCTTTCTCTTGGCGCTTGTGCCAGTTTGTCCCGAGAGATACTCGTCGCTGGGCACCAGCTGGAAAGACACCACCTTTGTGTGCTTCCTTTGGTTCCTGAAACCCACTTAACAGCAAACTTGGATCCCAGCCTTCCAGAAAGACGTGCCTTTCAGAAGTCCTGTTCCCAGCAGGCCTCCACAGGCTCCGGGGCAGTGGAAAGAATGGTCATCTTTTGATTCAAAGACACACAGTAGATAATAAACCTTAACTTTTTAAGTTAACTTTGGATTTATGAAGAATGACTTCACACTCTTGCAACTCCCATTCTTTATGAAGTAATGAAACACAGCCCATTCCGAAGCAGGCAAAGAACAGTCAAAACAGAAATTCTGGTTCTGTAACTGGGGAACAGGAATTTTAAACAGTTGAACAGGAACGATCAAAAAAGGATTACTGTAACAACTTGAGAGTTTTAACATACCATTTGACCTTTAGTTTCACAAATAGATTTCCCCGTCCTCAGTAAATAAAACTACAGGCTGGCCCTGCTGACCTCGCAGTGACGCACAAAGGCTATTATTACCCGGCCTGAGCGGCTGGGCCACTCGTCATCAGCAGCACTCATTTTCAAACCCACAATAAAACAGCTGTGGGTTCATTTTTTTTCCTTTTGTTTTCTAACTGCTTTTAATTTTGAAAACACAATGTTTCCTTTGAACGTTCGGCATCGGCAGACCTTTTTCTTTTATATTTTCTGTGTGTAGCATCCAAGTTCCCATGACTTATATGAGCTCCCGAGCAGTGTGGCCTTTTAAGACGACCTGTGTAGGCACATCTCACACACACCCGAAACCTGTCTGACAGGTCGCCGCAACCATCCCAGGCATCTGAGTCTGTTTCGGTCCTTAGTTTTCTTCCCCGTGCCTCGGGAATGTCGGCCACCACTCTCAGCACCGTCCCCACGTGCCCGTGAGCCAGAACGAGCTTTCCGGGTCCAAAGGAAGCAGCAGCAGGGGGCCCGTGGGTGCGTTCTGGGGGCCGCAGGTGAGCGGGGCGGACTCGCGTCTACACCGCGGCGGCTGCGCTTGCGTGCTCGGGAGGGCGGGGACTACGCGCGCC